CGGGCACCCCTGCCCTAAAGAAAAAATTTTCAAAAAAAAAAAAAAAAAAAAAAACAACTTTCTACTTTGTTTAACCTACAAGTTGTACCTATTAAATAAATATTTAGGATTAAAACAATGGCAAAATTAACAATTAAAAATAACACTAAAATACTTGTTATTAAGGGTATACACAAAAGTAAAAAGCAAGTTATTCACTGTTTTGACAGACTCAGAAAAAATCTGATTATATCAGTCATAACATTAAGGCATTTCTCCTTTGGAGAAGTGAAGAGAAAGGACCAGTTTTAGTTCTTGGCAAGGAATGTAAAGCTAAGCAATGATTGACAAGACTGCAAAAACCAGAGTGCAGCTAATCAAGACACTCTTAGATCCTCAGTTTAATACAGGTACCTGTAAGGAATCGGCAGTGCTAAAATATGAAGCATTCTCATTTTGGGGGGGAGGTAAGCATAAAGAGCTTTTTAAAAAACTGTGAAATCTTGTGTGTGTGTGTGTGTGTATGCATACATGTTATGTGTTATGTTCTATGTCTACGTGGCAAAAGGCCTTAAGGAATTCCATTCGATTTATTAAAAGAATGCTCATATAAATTAATTTACATGCTTTTCAAGCTCATTTGACTTAATAAGGCAGTCTCACATATGATAAAAAAAAAGCTTTAATAGGTAAAGTTCTTCACAGTTTCTAACATATACTTTGTTCAGGTTTATTGATCAGACCATATAATAAGGCTTAATATGGTGGTTTAATAAAACGGCTGATATTTAGCTATGCTCTACCTAATACGTTGTTTACTTGCTGCGAAGAATCCTTACCCCTGACATACCGTTTAATGGCTAAGTGAGTAGTTTGCTGTGAAGGAAACGGACTGCAACGCTGCTTGCCGAGGGCACGCCCGAGTCCACTCCGAGGACAGAGCCTGGCGTCAGCTCGTTCCCGGAGATTCCACCCCACAGCCCAGAGGCGGCGCTGGGAGCAGACCGGCCGCACGGCGAGGGCAGCAGGGACCAGGCATGGCCCACGCGGCGCCGCCTCACGCCTGGCACAAAGAGCTAAACGAGTCCCAGCGTCTCCACCACGAGCCCACAGACTCCCGTGTAAAGTGGTACCAAAACATGCCGACGTTCGGTCCAGTCACCGTGAGGCTGCCAAAGTCAGGCCCAGGAAGAGGGGCACACCCGGGCGCCGTGTCACCGTCTCGCGTCGGTCTCCGCCTCTCCCCGCAGGCCCCGGCCGCGCTCCCAGGGTGCCCCGCGCGGCGGCGGCGGACTCCATTTCCCAGCGGCCCCCGCGGCCCTCGCGAGC